TGATTACACCACTGCACTCTAGCCTAAGCAACAGGGTGAATTCCTGTGTCTAAAAAATAAAATTAAATTACAAGTGTATAACTGAATAGTTAACAATGACTATAGTACACCTAGCTCTTCATAACACACAGCCATAGCCCAAACACTTTTCATCAAATATTAGCAACTTATCCATTTTGGGGACCTTTAGGAAACAAAAGAGTTTTGTTTGACAGCCTTACAAAATTCAAATCTGTAAAGTGATAATTAAATTCATAATACTTAAGCTATCTTTTGGGGTACAACTACATAAATTAGCACTGCCCTGGATATTCCATGGCTATCCAGCACTTCAAAAACTTCTGAATTTTCACATGGAATTGAAGTATACACTTCATCTCTCATACTATCTTAATGTGAAATGAAGGACTAAAAGTTTTCACTTCACAGATGTATCCAATTTTTTTCTTAAGTATGTAAATGGTATTGATAAGTAAAACAAAATAGAATTTGCTTGACTTTACTTACTAATATTATGAAATCACACTTCAAAATACCATAAATACACTAAACCAAAGCAGAAACAAATTTTGAAATGTATTAATAGTAAGATGTAGCAGAAGGTATACTGGCCTGAGAAGTAATGCCATTTTCTGATTGTGTCTCTGCATGGTTATTCTCTCTGATTCCTAATTTTCTCACTTACAAATTGTAAGTTCTTTCCCTGTTTAAGTAGCAAGATAGCTGTGAAATTCAAATAATTTAATAAATGAAGGAGAAACTTTGAATAACTGATAAGAGCTATTAGTATAACAACTCTATGTCAAGAGCAAATTTTTAAGGAAACGAAGATTTAATTGAAACATAACATAATTATATCTGCTACTAAAGCAACAAAGAAAAAAAATTACAACGCTAATTTAGTTTTCATTTAGCTATTATGGCTAATGCCTTTCTAAAACTGTGCTACTATGTGACATTTCAAGAGGGGTCTCATAAATCTATGCTTGTCCCAGATAATAAAATTTAAAATATACCTTTTAAATTAGCATTTTAAAGGTATGTAGAAAAAATTTAATTTTTGATAACCTCTCTTGCAGAGATTCACAGATTTTCTAAATTTACTTTTTTTTTTTTGGAGACAGAGTCTCACTCTGTTGCCCAGGCTAGAGTGCCGTGGCGTCAGCCTACCTCACAGCAACCTCAAACTCCTGGGCTCAAGTGATCCTACTACCTCAGCCTCCTGAGCAGCTGGGACTACAGGCATGTGCCACCATGCCCGGCTAATTTTTATATATATATTTTTTTAGCTGTCCAGCTAATTTCTTTCTATTTTTAGTAGAGACAGCATCTCGCTCTTGCTCAGGCTGGACTCGAACTCTTGAGCTCAAACGATCCGCCTCGGCCTCTCAGAGTGCTAGGATTACAGGTGAGAGCCACCACGCCTGGCCTAAGTTTACTTTTTTATTAAGCTAAATTTTACGTGACTAAATTGTCACTCAACTAGAATACTACTGGCTTATCAACATCTTAAGGTGATAAGAATACTGTAGTGTCCAAAAAGTTTTACCATTACAATATCTGGAATACGCAACTTTTTAAACTTCAAACACATGTTAATTTAAGAAAAAGATGAATAAGTATATTTAGGGAAATTCCAAGTACGAAGGAGCTAACTCTTCTTAATGGAATACTGGTACACTGTCTTTATATTTCTCTAACAAGCTCTGGTGCCAATTGATGAAAGCAGAAGATAATTTTCTTCTCGAAAGTCTTGTATGTGTGTCCTACATGGTTCTTTCTTGCCTATTGAACTAGGCTTATAATGTCTGGAAATTTTCTTCCACAGAAATAGATGTGAACTGCATATGGAGATCAGACCTATACAAAAATGTGGTTTACATATTTTTAAAGCTTAAATGTGCATTCTACATATTGCTAGGGTATTTCTAAAACTCCTGACACTTTTCTGTATTATTTAACAAGATTCATTTGACCGACATGTTTTTCCATTTTTCTTCTCAATCTTATCAAAAAACAAAAGGCCAAACTGCCCTCACATAAAAGGTAAAATACTTAGTTCACTACCTTTAGATCCTAGAATGCAAATAAAATGCCTAACAAAATATCATTTCTGGAATTGAATGAGTAATTTTAGTTTACTCAATAAAGTTTAAGAAAAAATTTAAAAACAAACAAAAACAATTTCTCTCTTTTATCTTTCTGAAATCATTCAGTCCTAACTAGGTAAAAATGAAAATAAGACAAAAAACCTAACTGTCCAAGTTAAGCAAAGATTGAAGTATAAGTCTCCGCTCGCAAATAACAAGCCTCAGATAGAAAACATCTATCTGAAGCTACACCCAAAAGAGTTCTCCAATTTCCTTATCTGAGGCTTGTAATGTCTCTTTTCCTGGTTGTCACCAAAATTACAGAGCATGTAATTTGTTCTGATGGAGGAAAACATTTCAGATAAAGGGTCTGGAGATGTCACTCTGGGGAGAAGGAATATCTCATCCAACAAACATTTATTGAGCATTTACTATGTATCTAGTACTATATGAGGAAAAAAGGAAAAATGGAAAATAAAATATAGTCCCTAACCTCATAAAGTTATTGCCAGGGAGGCAGAAAAACTTCAAATCACAATATAGTGTGATACGTGCTACGATATATCAACAGGCCATTTAGCAAGACAAAGAAAGAGATCAAATGTAGATTTAAGGTAGAATCAAGGAAGAATTCCAAAGAAGATGACATATGAGCTCAATATTGGAGACCAAAAGAAATCAGTAAGTAGAAAAAATATATAGGATCGTTCCCAAGACAAGAGAACAAATAAGATATATAAAACAGCATTATACATTACGCATATACATTACACATGTACATTATACATATATACATCATACAGTGAGCTACCAATAGTTTCCTAAGTCTGAAGCACGCTGTGAATATGGAGGAGTAGACAAACACAAGGCTAGAGATAAGCAAAGGTTAGATCATTAAGGGCCTTGCCTTGTGTACCACAGTAAGGAGTTTAACTTAAAGGTTATGTGGAGCCACAGAAAAATGTTAAATTAGTGAGAGACAAGTAAGATCTGTCTTTCAGAATGAATACTTCGACAACAATATAAGGAATAAACCAAGAAGAAAAAGATTATGCACAGGAAAGCTAATCAAGTTACTGTCATAGTAATGAAGGCACAAACTTATTAGAGCTTGAACTGAAGCACTGCCAATAAAGACAGAAAAGAAACCATTGTAAGACAGATTTAGGAGTAATAATAAATATATATGGTAAATGATTAAATATAAAGGATAAGGAAAAAACAGAAGTCCAGGACAATTTCCAAGTTCTTATTTATATATGGGGAAGCCATTCACTCATATAGAGAGGGGATGCAAAAATAGGCATGGTTTGAGAAAAGATGATATTCTCACTTTGGAACAAGTTGAGTTTAGGACACCTGGAACTTAGGGAAAAGGTCTGGACTAGCTGGTAGTCCATCCCAATCACTGAAGAGGAAAAACAGACAAAAAACGCAGCAAAACACAAATTAGAATCTTATTGGGACTCTTTACTTCATGTTATATTTAAATTTCATGAACACATAATCTATGAGGTAACAATTCCTGATGGGAAAAACTATTCTTCTGAGACAATAGAACACCACACTGTTCTAAATGGAAAAGGAACAGTCACGGGATGAGGAGACTGATGAGTCTGTTGTCATTTATAGAAGCGTTCAAGCTTTCTTCCATAAGAATCAAAAATATTAGAAGGGTCATTCCTTTGACTAGTCCCGTTATTTAGATCTGTCAGCACAGTAAAGGATTAGTTCACCTGTACTAAGGAGAAAAACTGGTATTAACAGAATCATGAGGTAGGAGAGCAAGCTGCTTCATAAATTACTGATACTAAGTTGTCTGACTCCAAGATTTACAGTGTTTTAGAAAGTAAAATTTACACTATAAGGTATGATCTAGTAAGGAATATCTTATTAAACTTAGCTTTTTATGATTCGGCCTTTTCAAAAGAAGTTTCCTTTTAAAAAATTAATATATTAATATCCTATGTTCAGATACTTTGATAAGAGTCCTACTTTTAGTTTAAAAATAACTGTTTTGAAAGTTAGTAGTTTTTATCTGTGTCTTGGCATATAGCATTATATCTGCCATTCGGATTACAAACCATACAACCAAAGCACTGTCTAGGTAATGGTAGGTTATTCTAATTGAAAACAAAGTACCTTCCCCCAAAAATATACATTTAAGGGCTAAAACTGTAAGTAGAAATACAGGAAAGATATTGTTACAGATCATAAATTCCTACAGCTAATTCTTAGTTTTAAGTCCCAAACTCCACATAATTTTTTCAAAAAACACACAAAAGAATTGGTTGAAATATTCAGTTAACAAAATTAAACTGATATTTGCTAGTAAATATTTACTACTACTAAAAACCTATAGGCAATATTTTAACATCATCTCCTTTTTTTAAACAATGCACTTAAAATACAAGAAAGCTTACAAAACCAAATGTGGTAAGGATCTAGATTAGATAACATATACAAGGATGCTAAAGATGCAGGAAATATAAAATAAATAAATAAATAATGAAATTCTTTAAAAAATAAAAAGATGCAGAAAATAAATATATACAAATATGTATATATACTCACATAATATATGTGCACATATGTATTTTCATTGTATCATAAAAATCCCTACAAAGATGTATACATGAATCAAATTATTAAAAATAAATAAGTTAAATATACTAATAATACTTGTTTTTGGGTATAATTCCATGTCAATCTGCTTAATGAAGTGTAGAACCATTATCTAAGTTTGTAAATTAAGACTAGGAGCTTTAAAATTTGCTTTAGAGTGGGGTATACCACCTGTATATACAGATCTTCTTCAAGATCATTTCCAACAATCTTATCTTTAAGAATATTGGATTTATATTATTTCAAATGTGGTAAGTTGAACAAAATCAATACTGAACAACATACCTTTTAGATAAATTAAGGCTTTGGTGAAGAGGTTCTAATTTTTGACATGTCTCTAGGCTGTCAACAGATGTCGAAGGCAATGAGTCTGATTGCACCTTGTTGGCATCACATAAATTAGCATCATTTCTAGGTAGGGTCTTTCTGAATTTTCGTCCTAAATCCGTCCATAGGACATTCGTCAACATAACTTTGGGTTGCCTGTTACACACATAAATAATTAATACATAGGGTGCCAAACATTGTATAATATATGAATGTATAACAAACTGTAACAAATAAATTATCTCCAGGAATTCTAAATTTCAGTTCTTCAAGCAACTGGAGTAATAAATATCATAAGTAAAAAAAAAAAAAAAAAAAAACATGCCTAACCATTCTCAATTTTTTTTACATTACTTTTTTATAAGACAGAGTCTCACTCTGTTGCCCGGGCTAGAGTGCCATGCAGTCAGTCTAGCTCACAGCAACCTCAATCTCCTGGGCTCAAGCAATCTTCTGCCTCAGCCTCTGGAGTAGCTGTGACTACAAGCATGTGCCACCATGCCCGGCTAATTTTTTCTATAGATTTTTATTTGGCCAATTAATTTCTTTCTATTTTTAGTAGAGACGGGGTCTTGCTCTTGCTCAAGCTGGTTTTCAACTCATGATCTTGAGCGATCCGCCAGCCTCCGCCTCCCAGAGTGCTAGGATTACAGGCGCAAGCCACCTTGCCCAGCCTACATTACTTTTTAAAGTCTATTTAGCTTAAGTTGGGATTTTCCTTCAGAATTCTGTCAAGTATACTACAACTGTCATCACACACAGGTACAGCTGATGGATTCCTGACAAGCCATCTATGCTTATTCACAATGTTAGTGGAAGGACAATATGCACTTCCAGATCTCATCACAAATGCAACTACTTTCTACACTGAACACTGTGTTTTTATTTTAGCATTTGTCAATTCAGAAAACATTATTAAAACTAAGGATTCAACAGCACGTAATTATAGTCTTAAACCTCCACAATCTTGAGATACATATTTAATTTTACCTTATTGCTAAAGTAGGTCAATTTAAAACGTTTACTGCACCTAGACCAATTTCAAAGAGAAGACATAAATGCAAGCAGTCCCAGCTTTTTGCCTTATCACGTTTTGCCCATCTGCTCCTTCGATACATCTTTGCGTTAACAATACTTGAAAAACTATGTTCAGTTCTGGAACCATGGAATATAGTTTCTGCAGTGGTATGAACAGGCTACAAAGTAGACCTAAATGTCAAAGGAGGAATGGCTGAAAGAATTGGGAAATGTTCAGAAGTGTTTCACTACCTGGTAATCTGTTTTAGGTACTTTTTATCTAGCAAACACAAAAATATTAAGAAACAGAAAGCAAATGCTCATGTTATCTTCAAGATAAAATAGGAGATCTCAAAAAATAAAAATCACTTGTTTGTTTGCTTCAGCCCCTTGAGGCTATATCCTTAGATCATCTAGAAGTAGAAGAATACAAGTCCTCAGGGAACTTCCATAGAATGCACTGAAACTCCAAACATGTTGAATTAAAAAAAAAAAAAGTGTACGCTATTGGTTTTTAAATTATTATTAAAGGATAAAGAGATAAGTGACATTTCTATGAATCAATAATAATTCATTCAACAAACACTGAAAATACTCTAGCAAAACAACTGTGCTAGTAAGATCTGGAGATTCAGCAATAAAAAAGGTAAGGATTCTTGCTTTCATGGAACTTGCACTCAAGAGAAGAATAAACCAATTCATTATTTAATTACAATTCTTGTAAGTGATATGAAGGAAAAATACAGATGTCACACTTCTTCTGAAGAAGGTCAGGGAAGGTTTTACTGAGAATATGACCTTTAAATTGAAGTCTCAAAGAAGGATAGACACTATCCAGAGGAAACAAGAGAAAAATAAAGGTCCAAAAAAAGGACAAAATGCAAATGCTCTGATATGAGTAAAGCTTGTTCAAGGAAATTAAAGGGCCTACCTGGCTTAAGTGCTTAGAGTGAAGAAGAAATATGTATAAGATAAGAATGGGAAGGGGGGAAATGGGCATTTATTGAAACCTTAAAATCTGTACCCCCATAATATGCCGAAATAAAAAAAAAAAAAAAAGAATGGGCAGTTAGGCAGGACATATGTACTAATATATTAAGGGCTTGAGACTTTATGTCAACAATAATACAAATCCATTAGTTTTAAAAAGAGAACAGTGAGATCAGAGCTGCATTTTTAAAAGATCACTCTGATCTTTATGAAGAAAAAAATGGAAGCACTAAGGATAAAGGGAAGCGAAAAATGAATTTAGGGAGGTAATGACAACTTTATCAGAGGTAGTTTAGTATAATGGTGGCAGCAGAAACCAGAATATAACAAATGAGTAAATGGGAAAGTTAGAAAAAGGACACAGCAAATGTAGGTAGTTGAGAAATACAGCTGTGAAAATGAGGGATAAGACAAGAGCTGAAAATAAATGTGAGATCCAAGAAAAGGGTTTTTAGTTATTGGTTGGTTAGTTTAAGACAGGAAACATTTATAAAAGTTTAAGCTCTTATGAAAAGAGGTAAAAAGAGTGAGAAAAGTAGAAAATAGAGAAGGCAGGATAATTAACACAGTAAGGTACCTAAGAAATGACATAATAAGAGCTAATATTTATTGAACATGCACAACATACCAGGCACTATGCTAAGCATTTTACAATGTTTTACTTCATTTAATCCTCACAAATACTCTATGAAGTATTAATCCTAATATAATTCTTCTTCTGCAGTTGAGGAGACCAAGGTAAAATGATTAATATCTAACCCCACAGTAAAACGAGTCAGTAGTGAAAGTGGGATCCTGAAACCACAAACATTCTCAATTCTATTGCCAGCACTCTTAACTGTTCCACTATACTACCTTCCGACAGGAGAAGGGGCACCCCTTTCCTTCTTCCAAGAAGGAGAAGGAACCAAGATGATATCTTAAAAGTAATAGGAAAGGTAAGGGAAAATGGGTTTGAAAAGATAAAAGCTTTCAAATAATCATTGTGGAGAGGAAGAATACAAACTTACTAGAGAGACACAGTAAGATTATCTTACAGTTAAGGATTCCCAGTGAGATTAACAATCATAAATTTATGATGCCACAAATATCCTGTGTTGTAATATTTTTTCCTGCAGTGCTAGACCTGACCCAGATATCAGCATAATGCAAACAGATAATTGAGTTCAGAGATGATTATTAGTTACAAAGAGGAAAAGGTACCTTTAGAATGGAAAGATCTAGCAGAGACCACCTTAACCAAGTGATCAAACATAGGACCACTAACAGTGGAACAACCGGAAATTATGTATCCCTTGATATGTGCAACAGGAAGTACATGACATCAGGTAGGAAGTATTCTTGCCAAAAGTGTAACATGAACCTAATCATAAGGGCAAACCCAGGAAATCATAAAAATATAGAATGTGGGACATTCTACAGGACAAGTGGCCTAGACTCTTCAAAAGTCAATATCATGGTTATATGTGAAAGGGCAGAGCAGGGGAAGCTATTTTAGATTAAGAGACTAATGGGGCATAATAGCCAAATATATATAATGCATGAACCTCAAATTGAGCCTCAATTTTTTAAATTTTAGATTTTTTTTAAAAAGACATTTTGGGAACATTTTTGATTGTGGACATTTTGATTGTGGACTTTATAGTAGATGAACTTATGAAAAAGTATTGTTAACTTTTTAAATAGTGTATGGTTATTGTTATATAAAAGAATGTCATTGTTCTTTGGAATGCGGGCTGAAGTATTTAGAGGTGAAATGCCATGATGTCTGCAACTTATTTTCAAATGGTTCCCTCAAAATGAGTATGTGCATGTGTATTTATACATGTATATATGTGATACCCACCTACATACATGTATTAACATATAAAGACACTGAGAGTGGCAAATGTGACAAAATGTTAAAAGACTATTAAACTATTCTTTATAGAGTTTTACAACTGTACAACTTAAAATTCTGAATGATCAAATAAAAATACATATAAAATTTTAAAAATTTCTCATTCTTTTGATGCGCCCAAAAAAAAAATAAATAAAAATAAATAAAAAAAAAATTTTAAAAATATATAAAATATAGTTTTAGTCTAATGGGAAAACTATATGACTTACTTATTTACTAAATTATCTGGGAAATCATTATCCCAATAGTAATCTTAATAATTTTAAATACGAAAATATTCAACTGTGGAAAATGCCATTTTTCTATTCACTCAAACCAAATAAGAATTTTTGTTAGAAAATAGCAAACCATTGGTAATTTTATTGATTATTCTAGTAGTAAGGCTCTAAATGAGAAGGACAATTTAGCTTCTCTGGGAAAGTACTTATTTCATGGTTGGCTTTATTATAATTTTGCTAACTAAAAATATCTTTGACCAGAAGTCAGCAATCTCTTTTCCTCAAATTAATAATGTAAAAAAATTTTAATTTCTACAACATTTAAGTACTATTAGATTTCTTTGGTTAATAGAATAGAAACAAGAGTAAATAACAACATTCAAACCAGGCAAAATAAAACCTAAACTCTGCATTTAGGAATACACACATACTTAGGTAACAAAACTTTCTAAAAAATATTTAGAGATACATACTTAGATGGCAATACTACCCAACAAAAATACAAAAGTAGATACCTTTCTTGCAAGTTAGGGGAGTGGTTACCTTAAAGAGTTATTTTTTGCAAAGGTTGTGACTGCAAAGGCACACAAGAATTTCTGGAGTAGTTTTCTAATTTGTAGAAATAGTGTGCGGTGGTTAAATGAGTATATTTGCCTTAAAAATATTAAATTTAATGAGTAATTCATTTTTGACTATGAATTTTAAAAACAAACATACTTTTCAAGAAAAGTTCAAATTATGTGAAATTTTTCAACAAAAACAGTTTATTCAATGAATACATAAGTATGATTTAATCACATAACGTGGCTAAATACATTCAGAAATCAGAAAAAAAATCATCCTTCCTCAGAGCTGGAGTCCTACTTTTTGACTATGGGAAAAAAATAATCCTTCAGCAGAGTTGGAATCCTACTTTTTGATTATGGGAACTAAACTAACAGTTGGGATGAAGCCATTGTTTTCATTTGTTTTTTCATAATTTCATTTAGAATATTTCTTGTCCTTCAAAAAAATGGGCAAAATGGACACTT